TTGTATATATGTATAAATGTATGTTTGAATATGAAATAATTAAACCTAAAATTAGAATAAAATGTCAGACCTGGTACACAAAACAAAACACGATTGTATACCGTTATTGTTGGGGTTTATTCTGCTAATTATCGTACTTTCCTTTGGAAATGGAGTTGATGGAATAAGTTTTCCGATTATTTTGTGTAAACAGGTTTATTGGTTTGTTAAATAGGAAAAAAGAATTAAGAAGTGAACAGTATATTGCTGTCCCAACTCCTCTAATCACCTTTTGTTGTTTTCTTCTGGTTTCTTTTCAATCAATGACCATCCGGAAATTAACTAATTAATCTACCTTGAAAAAGCCTTATATCGGAAGACGAAACGTCGATGGAATTACATAATTAATAGAGAATATTTCACCCCTTACTATCTGCTTTTAATTGAAAACATCATAAAATGGTAATCACTGCCACATCTCACGGCTAATTAATAGAAAATGAAGAAATTAGAATATCAATCTTCATTATTAGATATGTTATAACATACCCATATGAGTTAATTCAAAAATGCAAAAGCTCTAAGACGCCTTCTTTTAGTTTAGTAATTACACACGCACCTCCACTCTTTCCTATCGTAGCAAATCTTCGCATTTCCCTAAAAGTAGAACAACCCACATCCTTAACTGTTTGAGAACAGTAATCTAGTCTAAGTCTATCTCTACTCCTCTTAACTCCTGTTTCTACCTCTAATATGTATCTGACTAGGGTAAAGGTCTAGATGATGGCCCCAACCCGCGAAGGGGGTCGGGTTGGGGGGGGGGATCGAAAGAGGAGGTCTCCCCCACCACTGTACCATAAAAAGTTCGTGGCGGTCTCACCCCCATAAAAAGGTATGGGGGTTCAAAGTTAATAAATATGCCAATTGTTATACATTTATAGGCATGTAAATATTTATATAGTCATTCTTAAACAATATTCAAAGGTAAAACTAATGAAAAATACATAAAGATATTAGGAAAGTTATATAAAACCTCCACCCGCTTGAAAATAATTTTTTTATTGAATTTTATTTGAATTATAGTGTATGAAAATTGTCAAAATAATCAACTTTCAACCCCCATAACTTTTTATGGG